GTAAAAATGATTAACGTATTTCTTGTATAAAAGATATATTTTATATATATTATATCATATAAATATAATTTATTTTAAGACTTTTCAGTACAACTGTACGATTTCAGCAGTTTTGGTGAAGATGTATCAAGTAATGTATACATTAATTATATGAATCATGTTCATGTAGTTACTCCAATTTCTGCACCATTTTCCAAATAATATTTATTGTTCATTTTATTAACCACATATTGCTCTTTTTCTTTGGAGTGTCCGTGTGTAAGGTTAAAAAGAAAATCTACCACGAGCCTTTTCACCCACTTATTATTTGAAAAACAAATTGTTTAAAGTTTAATATTTTTAATTAGCTTGATTGTAGATGAACTGCCAATTAATCAATCTGAATATTTCTTATGTAAGTAGTATTTTTTGTCAGTTTCATTATTAATGTAATTTCTCTTTATACATGACAAATATTTTTTTTTATTATCTTTAGACACTGTTTTGTCATCAAAGAGGAAATTTTCCTGAAGGAAAAGTTAATTTTATATGTACAGTATCTCAAACGCAATACTTTCATTTCGTTAATGATACCATTCAATTTGGATTCCAGTACGAATGAAGGGTTAAATTTTTGATCGTCCATTATTTTCCGTTTCATAAAGTGGTGAAAGAGATACAGCTGAGGTATATATGTTAAACTTGTATTCCTAATTCGAAGTTATAAAACTTTTAAATGTTTAGGATATTTTAGCTTAAAAAAATAGTAGGTAAAAACAAGCTGTGCTTGTAAAACACTGATGCCAACGTACGGCAGTTTATGGCAAAGATTGATTAGAAGTTTAAGAACTCCAAGTTCAAGGTCAAAAGGTCAAAATTGTTGGTGTCCAGAGAAAGGTCTTTACAAGGAACATACCTGTGAAATATGAAAGTCATAGTACTTTCTGTTCAAAAGACATGGTCAAGGTTAACGTTTTTTTTAAAGTGGGTCAAACTCTAATGTTAAAGTCAAAAGGTAACAAATATTTATACTCATTGAAAGACCTTCTCACAATAAACTCCCATACGAAGTATGAATGCTCTAGCACCAACTGTTCAAAAGTTAAGGCCAAGGTTAAAGTTTGTTATATTTGTCTAAAAGAAGGTCTAACGTCAAGGACAAGAGGTCAAATTTCATGGTACCAAAAGAAAGATTTTGTCACAAGGAATACACCAAAGAAATATGAAAGCTATAGCCCCAACCATTCAAAAGTTATGAACATGTTTTTGTGGACAAATAGACAGACAGACGGAGGAACAGGGTAAAAACTATATACCCCGAATCTTTGATTACGGGGGCATAATAAAAAAATAAACAAAACAAGCCCCACAGACTGCGCATTGGATTGTTTCAACAAAAACTATTTTAATGCTTTCCTTTTAAATGAACCATTATTTATTTGTTTCTATATACAGTGCGTTACAAAAGACAGGAAGAGGAGGCTGTTTAAAGCAAATTGTTTTGTTCAATATAACTGAGAATGGAATAAAAATTGCAAAGCCTCGTTGAGTGAATGGAGTTTCCTCAATGACATCCCTGTATTCAACTTAAAAGTTAATCATGAATGAATACTAGCACTTGTTAAATATAAAACACATGATTATTTTCTGTCAATAAAGATTTACCTCAAAATAAAAATTCAAAAGTTTGATAGGAAAATTGATATATATACTGGTTAGAATATCTTTTTACATAAAGGTAGGATTCTCCTCTGGGTTCTGATTAGACGAAATATTCCATGTATATTTGCTTATATTTCTTATATTGTTAGATGTAAGAGATTTAAAAGGTAGTATTTTTCTCTTCTCATCACAATTGTACAACTTTAAACAGATATGGTAAACTGAGTGTGAAGTCAAGCAGGGACTATATTTTTGGCGGAATAGGGGCGTATGAAAATATTTTTTTTTATTCTCAAAATTATAATAATAGAACAATGAATTTAGTTCTGAATTTAACACAATCAAAGACTTGAAGAATTTTTCAAATGTTAGTGAATTTAATAATAAGGGACGAAATTTTTCAAATATATCAAATAAATATGATTCTCCAAACTACAATTATGTTACAAAGTCTTCCAATTTAAGTACAGATATGAGCCAAATATTCGCAGAAAGTGTTTTTCTCTCTCATAAACCACCAAAACTTTTTGTTTTAGTGCCATTTTGAATCTCTATATTAAGACTTCTTTACCATAAGTGAAAAAAAGACAAATCTAAATAAAGGACGCATATGAAAATAACTTAATATATCCTAAAAATATGACAAATAGAGAAATTTCGGATAAGCCAAATCCATTTAAAAAAACTGTTTATGTCATTTTGGTTAAATCATCTTATAGACCCTATATAAAGTAATATCTTTTTAATGCAAAAAGAAAAATGTTTAATCTTCTGAAGAGTCCATGGAAAAGGTAATGATCTTGACATGACCTCGCCTCTAATATAAAACGGTCACAAGTAATCTAACTGATACAATCACGTTGTGATGTTGTCTTCTTGGTTCTTCGAAAATTTTCATTTGTTTTTAAATACAAGAAATACATTTTTATATGAGGAGAGCCCTTCCTTAAGAGCTATCTGAATAAACTCTCAAAACGTGTAAATTTTATTAAGCTTTCAACAATTAAAGAGTGCCATACTGAAAAAAAGGAAGAGAAAATCTGAAGAATTCAATATAATTTCCAAATTTAAAAATGTAACCAAGTAAAATGCTGCTGTTAAGTCCGTTTGCTAATCAAGATAAAAAGTGAATAGCAACAATCAATAGAAAAATCTTATATGACTGAAAGAAGGCAATGGAATCGCGATCAAAAAAAAAAAATACTGTCTAAAAAGGAAGAAATCTAAAAGTGACATTACAAAGCAAGGACAATGAGATATCGAACATACATATACTTCAGATGGATCAAATAATTTTCCAAATAACAATAGCAAAGAAACTGTGATCAATAAATGATTATCCGGCACAGTGTTAAAAGTTCATTAAGTACTGTATATTTTCATGACATTTTTAATGAAAATTTGAGACATATACTTTCTTTAATTTGTGAATTGTATCCTTTTTAAATATATCCTATTTTAAAGTCTGTTTATGTTGCAAAGCAACAAAAAAGCAGTTTCAAATTATGCATAACATTGATGCATGGTTTTTTCTTATATTTTTCTGTTTGAGTCAAGGTGTGATAAATTAATGGTAAAAATAGATCGTATTTGTGACGCACGAATTCCAACTAAATACAACTATAATTAACAAGCTCAGATATCATACAAGCCGGTTTAATTCTTAGAATTCATCTTTCTATTATTCCTTATATGTACATTGAATCGACGATCCGGTTATTTTTATGTATATTGTATCAATTTCTCCGGGGGGAAAATGCTTTTTGTATAATGACTTATTCTGAAATTTCTCCGAAGTAAAGTGTATCAAAAAGGTAGCTGCAGAACTGTAGCTATCTGCTTGAGAAAATTCGGCTATATATAAAGCTGAGTTAAAGATCCAAGCGTTGTAAAAACCGTCGATTTACGCCGCCGATTTTTTTTTTTTTTTTTTTTTTTTTTGTCGCTCTCTTTATGTATTTTTGATTTGTCTTGCTTTTGGAATGGTATCCAATAATAAATCAAATGTTTTACTTCTAATGTTGATATACTAATTAAAGGATATTATATTTAAAGCTGAGGAAAGTATGAAATACAAGAAATTATATCCGAAATGGGTGACAAAAAATCGGTGGCGCAAAACGAAGGTTTTTACAACGCTTGGATCTGTACCTCACTGCCTTATCTTTCAGAATTTTCTAAAGCAGAGAGCTACAGTTCTGTAGCTATTCAAAAGGTTACTGGTAGTCCCTTATATCTTAAATTGCATGCCTGCTATAGCATTGGGAATGAATGAACATCTAAAGTGGTCACACAATATTTTTTGCCAGATTATATGTGATCTTAATGACTAAAATTGGTAGTGTTTGTAATGTCAATTTTAATGTAAACCTTTGACACAACATACATGTACATAAAAGTATTGAATTTTGTATCTATAACAAAATTCAGTGTGCTTTTTAATGAAAATATGGAGAATGAAACAGAAGATGAAGGTATTATCATGTACATGTAGTTTGATTACTGACACTTGTTTTTAAGATTTTTTTATTTTAAAGATCTCAGCAGACCCTCCCAAGTTTGGCGTTTGTTTTTCTCTCAGGCTTAGATAAGCATCATGATAATCATTTTAAAAATTATTTTAAAAATCATTTCAACCCTTTTTAAGAGGAATTCAAGACCACCGAACCATTAAACTAAACATAATTTCACAATTACATTTCTTTATTCAGTTGTAATAATTAATTATAATATCTAAGACATTTTTTAAAAGAATTTGAAGGTTTGAGAAAACATTTTTTCAAAACAACCAACATTTTTAATGCATATGTCATGCTTCAGATGTATATTCTTTTGGCTCTTTTGTCTTCTTTCTCCATTTTGACGAAAGTCCAGCTACTGACATGGAAACTTAAATGAAAAGTATAAAAAAAAAATTAATTTGTAACTGATTGACGAATTACATACCATGTATTCCATATTTTCTGTTTCGATACATGTAGAGAATTTCAATTTTCTCCCGTGATTCTACTTTCCAGACAACATTCATATTTAAGAAATGTTTGTAAGTTTTTTGTTTCCTACTTTTCCTTTTTTAACAAGATAAGCCAAGGGAAATTTGTGTACAGAGAGTTAGATATAAATTTAGCTGTAAACTTTCTTAACATTTGCATTTCATTTTATCCTTTTGTCTAGTCCGTCCGATGAGACATTTAATGGTTCCCCGTGTCAAGGATAACAACCCCCTTGGCACTTAAAAAGTCGTTTCTTTGGATTTTAAAAACGATTACGCTCACTTTGGGCCACTAGAGAAACCAAAAACCTTTCAAAAACCGGTCCAATAAACTTATTTACACTGGCGTTAAATAAAAAAAACAATTAAGTTCTTCTGTCATTGCCTACCTTTTTCGTTTTCTTTGTTTTTCTTGGGTTTCACTGGAAGAGATTTCAGAAGAAGAATATGTAAGATTTAGATTGAAAGATTATGCATATATGTTAAAGTGCAATTTTATCTTTACATCTTACATTATATCTTAATAAATACTGTTTTAAACTTAGTGGAGAGGGCGAACGAGGAAACTGTGTGTCCAGAGATTTCACTTGACACAAATTTTCATTTATGCATGTTAAACTGGCATAAATGTTATTTAAACTTTACCTTTCTTTTTCGGTCGGCTCTCTTCATGTATCAAGTCTTTCCATAGCTGTGCAATATGAGCAGATTTACTATCTGCCATTAGCCTAGAAAACAGCAATTCTCTGTTCTTTTCCCTCATAAGATCAACAATTTGTGGAAGAAAATTCACAATCAAAATAATGATTCCATTCAAGGGAAGAGTCACCGACATGAACGCTCTAAACATCACGTGATCGTCACTCAGCAAACGAACTACGGTCGTTGCGATGGTAAAGACGGAAAAGCAAGTTGCCGACAGTAACACTTGCTTCACCTCTTTTCGTCCAGTATTTTTACACTGGTAGATGACAGATAATGTCATACAGAGGAACAGAATGATCCAGAAAAAAGTCATGAAAAGTGCATATTCTGTTCTACAAAATAGAAATTTAGATTTAGAATTTGTCGTTCAAAAGCTCCCTATAAAAGCAAAGATCTCTATGAAAATTATAAATGTAATATGCAAAATATGGTTTAAGAAATTAGAATACCGATTAAAATCACAGCGCCATGTAATTGATATGTCGTCGACATTGGAGATTTCAAAGAGGGATGGTACGGACCAAGTCATTGTTACAGGATCATTCACAGTCCAAACAACGAAAATAATAACAGGCGCAGACAACACTATTGGAAGATATGTGAAAACGAAGTCCCATTTTGGAAGCTTGGTGATGTTTGTTCCGATGATCGCATGAAGACATGCAGTTTTGTTCAGTTTGATTAACAGGCCAGTAAGGGTGATACTGTACACGGTTCCTAAATTTGAAATTTCATTAGTTTTTCTCAAAACAATATCAACATTTACTATAAAAATTCTTTAAAATTTCATTTCAAAGCAAAAGAACCATATGTTTATTGTTTCATTCATTTAAAGTAGCTAGGAAAGATTTGTTAAACATTATAATTGGTGAAACATGTTGTTTTCATTTTGAATTGCTCCAAAAACATATTTTTGCCTACTTGAGCGACAATTGGCCCATATCTTTTAGCATTAAAATGAACGTTAAAATTGTTTTGTTTGTTGTACATTTAATACAATTCGAAAGTTACAGACTCACCTGGCAAAGCAATATGAACGCCACATGCTAATGGTGAGCCATCAAACAGATACACTGCAGCCCCGAGAATCTGTATCGTCGTCCCAAGAATGATGCAAGCATGTCCATCAGCAGAAAGACTAAATATTTTATGAGAGGAGTATTTGGCCAGGTAATAAGTACACACAACTGCTACCCCAACACCAATTATAATAAGAAAAATCGTAGTAAGACCAACTCCACTTTCAAAACTGTTCACCGTTGCTGGAGGAAGACCAGAAAGCTCTTTCACTTTGTCGTTGTAGCTGGACACAAATTTCGGGTCTAAACATTCTGAACACTGATCATTTGGGCATTCTGATTGGAAGATTTTGCGAGCACCATTCAGGTTATACATACTCAATTTTCGTAAGTCTAGAGCCATCTCCTTACCTTGAATACTTCCAATCTAATGCAAAAAATAGTAATGGAAACTACATGTAAGTAAAATTGTGTTGAATTAATTAAAAATGATTCTTAAAAAGGCATTCAGTTTTATATTTTGTAAGGTAGAGAAATTTTGAGCATCAAATTTGTTCATATACTATATAAACTAAAATCCATGGAAATAGTTTTCAATAGTCCATACGCCTTTTAAACTATATATCATTTATGTTCATTAAAATTTGTTTCAACAGGCTTTAAAAATACAGCATCTTCGTTTTGAATTATAACAATCCATACATACTGTAACTAGTCTGGGGTTTCCTTTAGGTCCATACTGATAATTAAGGATCGCCAAGGGCACTGACGCATTCCTGTTCTCGAAAGCGAACTTCGTTCCCCCATCTGGCACTACATTAACATGATCTAACTCGTACTCTAGTTGCTGATACATATGCGAGAAATTCCTGTTGACACAACTGACTGAATCCGTTCCATCACAATGTTTTGTCAGAAAGTTTTGGAAAGACACAGATAAAGCATATATTCCGTTGATTGTAGAAGCTACGTATGGTGACTGTTTCTTTTTAACTGCGTTCAGCTTCAAATCCATTGTACAGTCTTTGTTATACCTATTGGAAAATCGTAGATTGCATTTATGAACATCTTCCCAAAATCTTTTCCCCCATGGCAGTTGATCTGACAAATCTCCCTCTTCGATATTCAAGCTTTGGAAATATGATTTAAATTGTGTGTTTTCTGTCATGTTGTTCTGAAGAATGACCATTCCTACAATAATTTCACAGAATATGTGGGTCCACTAATAATCTGTATTTTGTTAAAGAGGATGAATTTTCAAAAGTATAAAGTTTTAAAGGAAATAAATACACTTTGCTTGAATAAAGTTTAGACTTTAATTGATATAGAAAACTTTATGTTTTAAACTCTGAAGAAAGTGATTTCAGTACATTTATACGTATACTATGCTTCTTATAGTGTATGAGGGATCGTTTTCTTTTTAAAAGTAGTGATTATTTTAAATCGAAAATTGGGGATCAAGAAAAATCATGCAGCACATGTATCAGTAGTATATGCACTATAGACATTATTTTCAAGATGCAACGAAGACGTCTACGGATTAAGATTTAGGATGGTTACATAAAATGTATTTTTGTCAAAATTACCCATTGCCGGTTTGCTGTATGTGCCAAGGATTCTTTCTACATTCTCAACAGGCTTTGGAATGATAAAAACAAGCCTCCCAAAAGTATCTTTCTCATGTGCTACTTTAAGTAGCACTTCAATGGCAACGGTTGGAATGAAGACCATCACAACAGTTGCTCCATCGTATTGCAACATTTCATCAACCGCTCTGGATAGCTCATTTTCCTGATCTGACATTTTTATTGTACGTTTGGTTGCTAAGCAAATTTTTAAAAGTAATGCTTCTGTTTCCAAAAGATCTAACAGTGACTGATCACGATCCCCAAATAAAGCGTGAAAATAGGTCCAGCCAAGCCTCTTTGCAAATTCTATGGCAATGTACACATCTGAGGTTGACGACATTGCCGTTCTGAAAATACGAGGGAATCTTTCTCTATCATTGAATCTTTCTGTCGTTGCTGATATTATCTTTAAAAAAAATTAAAATGTGTTTTATTTACATGTATATGCAATGTAAATTAATTAATTTTTATCACTGGTACATAAATGTTCATTTTGTGCTTAATTTAAGAAATTTTGAGACAGAAATGAATTAAAATATTGTATAATTAATTAATTAAATCAATACATCAAAACTGACAAAAATGTAAAGTGAAACTATTTTCTTTGGGAAAAATAAATGTATGTAGGTTGGGTTTTACATGTAGTACTTCATAAAAATTTGGACCTTTTATCATCTTGACAACAAAATCATCCTACAGATTTGACTTACCATTGGAAATTCTCGTGACACTGAGTCTCTTGCATCGCCCAATTCCGAGGCAACAGGGTTTGTTAGAGCTCCGACAAGTCCCAGAATAGGTTTTGTGAAAGGAGAAGATGGAAGCTTAGGGACAATAAATGAAGGTATAATAACATTCCTTGCTATCGTAGAATCAAAGGCACACACTCCAAATATTCCTAAACCGATTCGAGGATTGTTCTTTGGCTGTTTCTTATTTAAGGTTTCAATGCTCCATAGGACCGAAGACGCAACTTCAAAATGGTCTGGTATAAGAGAATTTGAGCATGTCCCATTGTTTACCTCAAACAGTTCTAAAAACGCATATATCATAACGTCACCTGGGATGAACGTATATTGCATTTCAGCCATGCCTGTTCTTAAAGAATGACACTTTCTCCCGCTACAGGGTTGGATTTTGTTTTGTAACAATGACTGTGGTAATTTCAACGTGTCATTGTTTATGATAGTTATGCCGTCTATCCACATTCCAATCTACATACAAAAGATAAATGAAACATATGCAAAATGCAAGCGATTTGAATATATAATGTGAAATATATATTTTGTACATGTATTTAAAAGTCAAAGCTATGCAAAAAGATAAAGAGTACCTTTCCGAATGTATTATTTGCAAGCGTCGGATTGACCTGCATGATATAAAATATATTCTTCCCATCCCCTTTGCTATCAAAAATTATTTGGTCGCCATTGATGTCTTCCACATACAACTTTTGAGCAATTTCAGCCAGTTTGTTTTTGTTTAAGTTTGCTTCATTACAGTAATCAAGCAAAGGACAATAGGTTCTTATTAATGCATCTAATCCATGGGCAAGGACAATAATAGCGTCAATAATATGCGTTTCTCCATGAAGATCAATATCTTCAACGATATTTTGAAAATCTTCGTCTTTGCACTGAGCTTTCCAAGGCTGATCTGCATCGAAAGTGCAATTGTCTATTTTTTCTACTAGCTGTTTTATGAATAAGTTATTTTCCAATAGATTCTGTTTACTGTTTAAGTAGCTAAGAAACTTCTCCGAAATTTTTGTTTCGAAGGTTATAAGAACTGCATTGTTTACTACTTCAATGTTCTTTCTGAAGAAGCTTTCCTCAATACCTGCCATCCATGTATCGCATCCAATCCAGAAAACGTTATTGTTCTTTAATTCAGTAAGTCGCTGTAAAATAGCTTTCATGTGATTGCTTTGCGTCAGTGAAACTACAGCTTGAACCTTGTCATTATTTTGGACAATAAATCTGTCTACAAGATAGTTCAGAACATCAGAATTTATCAAATACGGATCTTCCATTCTCATCATATACACTACTCTGATTCCCTTTTCCTCTGCAAAGTTCAACACGCTCTTTGTGAGATCTGCACCAAATGCATCGTTGGTGTAAACAATGCCAATAGTATGAATAGAAAGATATTCCAAGACACCAATTATCGCTAAGGTTTCTTCTTTGTTAGAAGGAACCATCCGCATGAAATATGGATAGAGTATCTTGTCAGAAAACACAGAACTAGTTGCACTGATACTTATAGTTGGCATTTCCTTCGAAGAAAAATACCCTGCCAAGCGTTCGATCTCAGAACTAAAAGGAAATCCCACTCCACCGATATAGTTTTTTCTCGATATAGTCGTATTTCTTAGTCCTCTCGAATTCAAAATGTCCATTTGGTGAGTGAACCTGGAAGGCACTGTACAAGTATCAATGACATCGTATCCAAGCTTCACATTTGGCAGGATATTTGTCATATTATTAACAAACTCGACTGCAAAGACGACAGCCTCAGTTAACAAAATGTAATTATCTCGTAATTCCCCACATCCCTCAGGTGTGTATGAAGAATAATGTAGTGGTAAAGATCCAATTACTTGAACATCCGTTTCAGTTGGTGATGTAAGACTTTGGAATTTTACAAATGAGCGACAAATGTATACGAAAGCCTCACTCCACGAAACAGCATTGCTTTTTAAGACTTTGTTATTTTTGTCATATAATTTCATTGGATTAATCGTTAGGTATTTCTCATCGTTAATCTTTCCAACCTATACTCAAATATACTCAGAATTGTTCAAATTATTTATTGCATATATGAGGACAACCACAGACATATTTTTCGCACTTGTTAAGACATATTTTGAAAGATACAGATAGTTTTATTTTAAAATACATTAAGTCTGAAGATAATTTTAACTTTTTTAAATTGGTTTTTAAAAAACTAAATATCATTCACTAATTACCTGAATGAATCTAGACACTGTCATGTTCCCTTTCTCGACAAGCTGGTCTAACTGAACATTGTAAACATTTATTTCTTCTTCTTTTCCTGTCATTTCAGAAGTCCATTTCGATCGTAAACAGGCATTATATTCCTCTTTGCTCTGGTAATTACACGCACTGATGTTGATATTGCTTAAAGCTTCCATTACGAAGGTTGTGGTAGTTCTGATATCTTCCATAATATTTGACATTGATATATTGCTATAAATAACACTCTCTGAAATAAGACAGATTAGGGATAGTGAAGAACTAATTAGTAAATAAACCATAATTTTTTTTGGCAAAAGTAATTTTTCAGAGCAACAAAGAACATTTTTTTGGACTCCTGTAGAACACTTTTATTTGTTTACCTGTTGTGTTTGTGTCTCCTCTTGTCTTTGATCGCGGAATGAAGACCCAACCTGAAAACATTGAAGTTACAAATTAAAAGTCAATATGTAAAGGTTATATGAAAGTGCATCATATTGTAAACACAAAAGGGAACATAAGAGAGAGAGAGGGGGGATGCTTCAAATCACAAATTAAAAGATGTCATACGTAATATAAACTAGCCGAAGTACAGAAGAGCAAAAATACCTGGAATTAATTCTAAAAATGGTTTGACTATTCCTGAATCTTCAAATAAAGCAACAAAGTAAAACTGTTGAAGATCTCTATTTGTCGTCCAGATCTGTGCGATATGTCTATAAAGATAAAGAAACTTATTTGAGAATAGCCAAACAACCAAAGGGCAATTTGATTTATTTCTTACTAAATATATTTCAACTTATCTATATTTGTTCCTAAAACACGAATCTTACTTTAAAACTAAATCTTCTGCCAATATCAATACTCCTTTCGTATTCGTTTCATATTGAAGTGACGTCAACAAAAATTCAATGTCCTTTTCAGAAGTTGAATTCACATCAAGTGTCCGTACTGCGCATATGTATGGAGAATCACGTGATCGCTTAAACGTGTTTAATATATTTAGGAAGTAAGATGTAGGCTGCAAAATGACTTGGATGTATGGCCATTCAAGCGCTTCTAGAACTCTGTATATGAAGTTACCCAGTGTTTCTGTTGTGTATTGTGTAGAAATAACGGTATTATTTCTGAAAAAATAAACATCAAATAGTCATAATCAATAACGATATTAAAAAATATCAGATGTTTACATAGATACACGAAGCTTCAACTTGAATATGTTTAAAGTAAAAATTTTGATACTTTTAAGTTTTTTTTAAATACAATTATATATAATTTTGTACGATTTAAGTGTTTTCTACATACCCTTTGCCGGTGAACGCATCATATATGCTGGTTATTATTGGAATGTTTGATTTTATTGATGTTGTTGTGATATTCGTTGTTTCATTTCCTGAGATAAAAACTTAAAACAAAAAAAGTAATAAAAAATAAACAAAGTATCACACATTTGCTTAAATCTGAAAGAAAAGTGAGGAAATATAACATACATGAATTACCTCTTCTCTTATCATAAAAATATAAAATACATATACTTTAAATAATACAAGTGATGGTTTTGTTTAATAATTTGCTGATATGTCTCTTATTTACCAACGGCTTTCATTTTCATTGTACATACAGCAAGTTAAGCTCGTTCAAATCAAGTTTAAATGCAAAAATTATATAATATTGTAATTTAAAATAATTTATAAATTAAAAATCAAAATTTCCATACCAGATGTAAGAATTATTGAAATTCTAATATCAGCGTTTTTCACGTACAGGTTATGTTTTAAATTTTGATTGCGCAATGCAAAAATCCACTATATAAAGTAAATGTGAACAGCTCTGCATTAAAATACTTTTTTTGTTACAAACAACTTACCAATTAAATCCGTATTATTTGATATATCCTTATCTAAATCATGAAAATCACAAACAGGTATTATGTCATGGTCTATTTGCAGATGTTTAAATAAAGTGGATGTTTCATTAACAAAATCGGACATAGATTTTGAAACATCGTCGATTTCAGACGAGTTTTTTTCACAGAATACATGAGATTCCACAAAGTAAGTTATCATCACTGCATGAGAAGAGTACACAATTAGAATAAATATCCAGAGAATTGGTGATATTTTATGCCCCATTATAGCAATCCTGAGAATAACCCAGTTTTTCTAGACAAATGTATGAACATTCATGAAAAATAAAATCCCTTTTCAAAACAGACAACAAAACAAGATCTTTAAATGGTGGGGTGAAAAATGACCTCCTATGAATGCATGAACTCGCTTGAGGTACAATTTGGACATTTAAATCATTACATGAGACATTCAGCATGTTCATTGGACTGATTTAGAAAGTTGTACTACAGATGTACTTAATCTGGGACGAAATGATAGAATAGGAAAGGAATACTCGAAATCAGTGTTTTCAAAATGTATTGCAGCTAAAAATACTAATGTGGTAATGAATTGCAACGTATACGATGACATAAATTCAAACAATGAATAAAAACGAAGTATTTTAGTCTTTATTATTATCCATTTTTAAAAAGTATCGAAATATTACTTTTATTTTTGTTGCTGAACATATATAAGAATAAAGATGTTAATTATAAAAAATTGTATAATAATATGATGAGTTAACGATTATGAATCTTATTAAGCACAAGTTTAAATAACCTTAATTATTGCAAGTAGATGTAAGTTGGATGCCGATAAAATTTTCTAGTTTTCACACATTATTGAATAAGAAACTGCTGGATCACCTGCAGAATTTCATCCAGGTAAACTCCGATAGATGTGAATTTATTTACACCTTATCCACGTTTGGTTCAGTTAACAATGCACATGCTTTACATCATTAGAGCGTTATAGCTAAGATAACTTTCAATGATAAGAAAGGTATGAAAAAAAAATATTTTGTTTAAGAGAAATATTTTTAAAACAAAGTAATACCATGACTGACCGGTGTCCTTTGTGGACATCCACTGTGTAACCCCCCCCCCCCCCCCCCCCACACACACACACACACACACAAGCTACATGTATTGTGGTATTCCCTCATTGGAGAAACTTATGAAGTGGCAGCTTCCAAATTGTAGAACCTCTCCGCCATCTTGAATCTTGATTTTCATAAAATAGGGTAAAAATATAGTAAATCTTAAGCAATCAACTATTCTTAAGTAAACGAACTAAAAATGCAATTGTGAACAGATTTTGCACTTTTTAAAATTAATTTAGGGAAAGGGATGGGGATAAGGTATTCAAAATATCAGGGTGGTTAATTTGTTTCTGAGCTTACAGAATGTTTAGATATAACATCTTACTTAACTGGTAAACGCCAAAACTCCCAGTGTACAGAAAATATTTAAAAAGTTTGATAGATATTATGTCTTTCTTCATTGATTTTCATATGTTAAATTACACGAAAATTAAAAGAATGTTTAGAAGAATGTTTCCGAGATTGATAGTCGATATTTATGTCCTAAAAGGTTGTAATAATTTATTGTATTTTGATAACATTGTATTTCAGTTTGATCATAGCTGTATGAATGGCAGAAATTGGTCAAGAATTTGTATTGCACGGGACAAATAAGCAGTATACTAAGTAAACCCTTCTCTAAGTTCTATCCCAATACAACATCAAACAGTATTCACTTGTCAACACCCGTCTGGCGGTGGAGGAATACTGCCTGATACTAACCCTATGTTAAGTTCTAACCCAACACAACACCAAACAGTATTCACTAGTCAGCACCCTCTTCGCAGCTACTTAGTAATTGATTTGAGAAAATGAAAATGAAGTGCCGACAAATCCGTTGAATATACTAAATTGTCCCTGAATATGACCATATGACGATATGAACTGTGCCAGCTAACAGTTGATGGGTTTGTGCCTACTTACCCAACAATCGTCAGGAGGAGATAACTGCTACATAGTTAACTGGAAGTCTATGTGCAGAGCATATAATTATTATTATTATAGCATATCTCCTTTGTTCCTTTTTTTATCATATTCTTACATTGAATTGAATTGTCATTTAATATTGACGTCAGTTTTGCTCTTTTATTTTCTCATGAATATACAGCAAGTGATTTAGTATTAAGGAAATAGTACGAACTGCAGTGAGAGCTGCATATAGTTCTACTACCGGGACACCTACATCCATGGATGGTTTCTCAACAAGATTTTATGCACTCCGGCATAAAATGTGATGTTTACCTGCATTTAAAGGAAGTATTGATCAACTCAATGGAAAAATGTTTCTTTCATTAATATTGTTTTTCTTTTTAATTTTAAAAGCCAATTATCAATCTATTTCAATTTCTTTTATAGAAATATATAGATAGGAAATTCTGGTTATTCTATTCCCAAAGTTTATAGATTCTAATCTTTATGAATTTAATTTTTTGTATTTTAAAATAAAAAGTAATTACCGATAACTCGGTACAAGTATTGAACTCTTCAATATCTACATTAATTAATCAAGTGCAATATACCCAATACATAATGTGCTTTAGTTATTTTAAAAAAAAATAAACAGTTAAAAGAATTCAGCTTTATTTCATTCCCCCAGTAAATTGTATATAATAAATAATAACGATATAAAACAAATCCTTCTTCAGGGATTTTCCATAGATGTGTAATGGTGCATCTATATTTAGCAATGAAAACTTCTTCCTGATAAGGCAACAAGGTCATGGAAAGAAGCAAAGCAATAAAAAACTTTGTATTTAGTTAAGATTTACGAAGATAATATTATGTGGCAAAAAGAGATTTATTGATCGAAACAGTCTGAACTATAGTGTGTTGCACATACAAGTTAAATAGCAAAAATAAATTTTAAACAGTGTAGGTTGTTCAATAGTTTATTTTTAAGCAAGGGATCTTCCAGCATTGTAACATGTATATACGGGCTGCAACAATTAAAAAAATCAAACTTTAGTACGTTGTTGCAAAGGCCTGCTGGTCATATTCGAACATAAAGTCTTCTAACGAAAGGTCAAATATACTGGGTTTTGATATTTTACGTTTAATGCAGATCTCAAATTTTATCATGGTAGGATCTTAAGTCAAACTGTAAAATCACTTAACACAAAAGCGGTCAATTTATGATATTAAACTGTTCATAATTCAATAGTTGATGAACATATATATTAAAACGTTCATATGCTGTTAAAACAGATAAATTTCTTCATTTCAGGTTCACCAAACTTTTGTTCACTCAAATGAAATTTTAGAAAAAAGAGATTTTTTTAAAGAAATCTTATTTCTGAATGTAATAAGCACGACTTTAGCCTGATGAAAAAATCTTTACAGAAATGGGATTTTAACTTGAATTTAGAAATCATAATTTCGTATACTCGTATTCCAGTGATCAGCACCTCATTGAGTCACAATGCTAGTAAAAACAGTAACCGTTCTAACGTGAATATTTGACTGACAAATAATAATGTATATGTTATATAATAGTAAATATGTTTATTTAATGTACATTGAGTTTTGTAATTAATTGATATACGTAATAGTGAATATGTGTTATCGAAAATTTCAATTTCTTCCTGAGTTTTGCTGTTTTCAGTAAGGAAATGCATATTTTTAATCATATCTCCAATTATTTTTACATATATTTACTGATTTTATTTTTTAGCGAGATACGAGGGCTGTTCAATAAATAATGTCCACGGTGCTCGGAAAGAAACAAAAAAACGCTTTCCAAGGATTTAGCCTTAACGATTTCATTTAAATATTCTCTTTTAATTAAAACACATGTCCGTAACATTTTTATCGAATTTCTGATTGTTTTAGTACACATTTTTGAGTATGACCCTTCGTATACTGGAATATGGCAGATCCTATGATTTCATTGACTTGTTTCTTCTTTTTGAAAGTTTTTTTTTCAAATTTGGAAAATGAAACATGTCAAAGGGTGAAAGATCTGGCAAATATTGTTGGTGTGACAAAACATTAATTTTCCGTTTATCCCCAAAACTACTTTACTCTTCGTAGCATGTTGGTTTGGACGCTGTCATGAAGAAATTTAATGTAGTGAATTTCTGGTTCTGATCTCATAAACCTTTAAATTTTTTTATAGCAAAATTTGATTTCTAGACTTCTCAAGAAATTGAACTGCCTCCCCGAAAAAGAATTTGAACAACAAGACTACTTAAATATTAAAGAAAATGGCATATAAAACTGTTTTTGTGCTTTTGCAATTTTTTGCTCTTCTCAGACCTTGGCTGTTTTTGTTAAGTACAACTTGTAAATTTGTTATGAGGGTTCAAAGTAATGTATTTAAATTTCACTATCTATCTGAAATTCAGACAAATAATGATAATTTTTGATTTCTTAAAATTATTGTTTAGATATTCTTCATTTTTCAAAACATAGGGTGACCATTGATTTAAGCTTTTTTACTGTCAAATGTTTCTTTAAAACAGTGTAAACTACCCCCAAAAGGCTGACTATCAATTTTGCTATGTGTTTTAAAGTCAATCAAACATCATCATTGATAATTTGTTGAATTTTGGCAAAGAGTACATTAGTTGTTGTAAGTCTTTGTTGCAAAGGACGGTACCCATTTTTAATGCCCATTACATCATTTTGTCATTGAAATCCACCTGCTCTTGTGTCTACATTAAACAGACATTGGTTGCTGTAAATTTCATATATTTCAGTGATTATTTCTTTGGGATTCTTAACGAGATTTACAGCAACTTTCATGAAGCGTTTGATTTCACTCTTGTTTACGGATTCTTTACCATTCATTTTTAATGCAGTGTCTCGAATAGCCCTTGTTTTCAAGCTTCTCCTAATGAAAAAATGTGATGAAAAGTAGTCACATAAACTGTAATCAATTCATTAAAGATTCAATCATGGGAGAAAGTCAAGCTTGATGTATTATGATTTCTATATTGTATGTCATATAGCTGATATTATTTATTGAACAGCCCTCGTAAATAATGTTTACCTTGCAATCTTAAAGGTGCATAGACTCAGATTTGAAGTTGAAACTTTCTGTATAATATCATATATATTGTAAAAGCATTTCACACGAAAATATATTAAAAATCTTATTCATCTAAAAGTTATTGAAACTTAAAATTTTTTGGATGGGTTTGATTGACACATCCTTGCACTTTCACAAATTTTAATTTTATTCTTAATACATGTACTTAGGAAAAGTAGCAATCTTGTTGTGT